TTATTAGAATTCTTAAACATTTCCTATTATTAAACATTCCATCAAATGTTACAATTAAATCAGCATAACATATGTGCAATATATAACACATATACCACTTATGCCACATACATACTATTTACACAGTTTATAATTCATTTGTACGTTGTTACATTACATGTCTATATTTTGCATAGTGTAATTTATTATTACGAAACTAATTATTAAACATTCTATCGAATAATAAATGTTACAGTTGAATTTTTGTAACATACGTGCAATATGTAGCACATACCACATATGCCATATACAAACTCTTTACGCAGTTTATAATTTACATTGCTATACTAAATCTATATACATATTTTACCTAATCCAACTACATATCACATCGCAAAATTTTCTCAAATAAAACTTCACATATTAACATAGGCAAATAATTCTAATGAATGAAGTACATAAAACACCGCAAAAGCAGAAAGAGGTATGCATAAAGGGGGTCAACGCGTCTAAATCACAACAATAAACGGAAGAAGAACGACATTCAAAGAACCGTAAAGTAAACCAAGAAAAACATCACGCTCGGCCGACCTTCGTTCACCTGCTTGTACGCGCACGAAACAGCGAGTAAGTGCAGTGCGCTCGTTAATGCGTTAGGAAGCGAATAATGTCTGTCTATGCATATAAATATTTATACGATTCAGACGAACCGTGATAAGAGAAAAAAAAATGATACAACAGTAGCCCGCCACGGAGATCCCGCGAAAATGAGCATCCTGGAAAAAACGATTACTCATCGCATCCCGCTCGAAGAAAATGCTTATCGATAAAATTAACATACCGCGAGGCGGTGATTTACTGCGCGAACGGAGACGAGTCAATTCCGTTTTTCTTCAAGATACGACCTTAAACGAGGATCGAAGTAAATGAATGTAGATACATTTGTTGGAGATACCAACCATTTTCTACATTGTTTTATTCATCATGCTACTTCCGTTTGTTTGTCCTTAGGACGTGTCTGCATTATATTAGTAAGTGGTTGTAAGTAGCCTTGCTAGGAGGTTTTCGAATTTTTGGGTTACTTTGTATCAGGCAGGATTTTTTTACATTTCAGAATTTTGAGGTGTGAGAATCTAATGACTGGAGGATTAAAATTTTGGTAATGTAGTGATTTGGGGATTTGGAAGTCTAGAGATTTGAGGATTTGGCGATGTAGAGATTTGGTGGTGGAGGTACTCGGGGATATAAGGATTTCAGGATTTAGGAATTTTGGAATTTAGCTATTTGGGAGTATAGAGATTTGGGAATGTGGGGATTTGAGAATGTGGTGATTTGGGAATGTGGGGATTTGGGAATGTGGGGATTTGGGAATATGAGGATTTGGGAATGTGGGGATTTGGGAATGTGGGGATTTGGAAATGTAGAGATTTGGTGATGAAGGCGTTTGGGAATGTAGAGATTTGGTGATGAAGGTATTCGGGGATATAAGGATTTCAGGATTTAGGAATTTTGGAATTTAGCTATTTGGGAGTATAGAGATTTGGGAATGTGGGGATTTGGGAATGTAGAGATTTGGTGATGAAGGTATTTGGGAATGTAGGGGATATAAGGATTTCAGGATTTAGGAATTTGGGAATTTCGCTATTTGGGAATATAGAGATTTGGGGATGTAGGAATTTGAAGATATAGGGATTCGGGAATGTTGGAATTTGGCGATGTAGAAATTTGGTGATGAAGGTATTTGGGGATATAAGAATTTCAGAACTTAGGAATTTTTGAATTTAGCTATTTAGGGGTATAGAGATTTGGTGATGTAGGTATGTGGAAATGTAGAGATTTCAGGATTTGGGAATCTGGGAATTTGGAAACTTAGCTATTTGAAGATTTAGAGATTTGGGGATGTAGCGCTTTGGGAATCTATGGATATGAAGATGTTTGGATTTGGAGATATAGGGATTTGGGTATCTATGGATTTGGGGATGTAGAAACTTGGAGATGTAGAGATTTAGTGATGTGGGTATTTGGGTATGTAGATATGTAGAGATTTAGGAATTGGTGAATTTAGCTAGTATTTGGAGGTTTATAGATTTTATACATAAAGTTAAAATTTTTATACTTTACAATTTCCAAATTCCAGAACTTCCAATTACTTTAATCCTTTGATTTCAAATTCCTAATTTCTAGATTTCTTAAATTTTCAAATTTTCAAATCTCTACACGTCTAAAATGTGCAAATCGTCAAAACTTTAAATCTACAAATTTCCACTTTCCTAAATCATTTTCTATTTATTCTTAACGAATATCTACGATATTAATATCTATATTGTTATTACATACGATGCTAATAAATGCATATTTATTTTACTACCCGTTTTTATTACCTAAGTTATTTTATTATTTTCTTCGCTGTAGTTTATAGTAGAATGAATCACTAGTTAGTATTTTAAGTATATCTGACCATATACATCAATTTTGATTATGACAGTCAATGTATTAATTCTATTCGATCTATAAACAACATGTGTTTCCTAACACTGAAAGATCACTGGTATTGATTGATGATGCTGCACCCAGAACCATATTTGGATTGCGGTTATAGGGTTCCAGCAATAAAACGGAAAAAGCTATTACTAATTGGAATTTATTTAGTATCTATTTAGAAGCTGTGAATTTAACTGCGAATTTGAAACGCGTTTTCAAAAGAAATTTTTAAATATTTTTACTGCGGAAATATTTAAGAAAGTTTTCTAAATTACACGTTGTACAAAATTTTATAAATGCCACATGGTACATAATATTCAAACCTTTGTGCAATTATTTCGTTTTGAAATCTGTAAATTATACATAATTCGAATAACCCATATACTGCATATTTCATAAATTATATAATCGATTTACATATACTTTACCAGACTTTAACAGAAAATCAAATTTCAAATTGATACCACAGAGTATGTCACCTTCACTTCATTTCTTGTTTTAAATTGCCCAAATTAATGACCACACTATCTCACTATGACAACTACATTAATAACTACCCTACTAATATTACATCTAATACCAAAATAGTCTTAACTCTGATATTATCAGCTTTATTTTTTAAACAGTATCGTGTTGCTTCAAACAGTCATTCGAAGTGCATTGCTTCAAACAGTATCAAACCTACTTATACATAATAATGTCGATATAATTATATTGTTCTCAATATTATTAAACATGTAGTTGTATATAGAAGTATCATAGTAACTGCTTTGCTTCGAACATTATCAGTATTATTGCAATGATATTGCTTCAAGCACATTATAACTCTATTGCTTCAAACAATGTCAAACCTGTTGTCCGATACGGACATTGCTATTGCACTACATATTTCAAACAGTATCAAATCAAGCAAACAATCGCCATTAGCCTTTCCAACAATTGACGGTAATTCTATAATGGCTCTGCTTTTCAAAATCAGAAAGATGCTGAAGAGATTTAGGAAAATGAATACAAAGAGCAATGACTAAATGCAACTGGCAATAACTTTCTTATGATCAGATTTATCAGAAATAAAATCCACATTACGTCACATTACACAGAACGTCATTAGTATATTCTGATTAGCATCACGCGTTACCAATTTTGATTCATCAATTTTTATGTATTGGTACATACAACTCTATATGACGTCATATTTGAGCTTTTCATCTGGCAATTTTACTGATCTTCTAACCCTTCTTCTTTTATGATAATAAAATGATATAAGAGGAGGTTAGAAAAGACGGTGCAAAAATGATGTCAAAATGCAACTGTCTAACGACCTCCCTTTGAACTACCAAGATGACGTAAACGAAATTCAGAGAAATTGGCAAAAAGACAAGAATGTCCAAACAGGTAGCAACTGATCGCCTTCCTCTAGACTATTAGATTAATATCAAAAGAGTATAAGAAAGGATCTCTACAAAGTTAAAAGTATCCAAATATAACCAACAGTAATTACCTAATGATCCCTCTTCTGCAACATCAAATCAATGTCGAAGTAGTTTAGATAAATCAAACTCAAATGTAACTGACAGCTATTGCCTGATGACCTTTTCAAACATCAGAATTCAGGTGTAATTAGTGGTAAATTCTAAATTCTAAATTCTCATAACCTTCTGAAACATCGAATCGATGCTACAAAAGTTTAGGAGAATCAAAATTGGATGCATCTGACAATAACTGCCGATGACCTTTTGAACCATTAGAATTCGAATGTAGCTAATGGTAAATCTCTAATAACCTTCTGGAACATTAAATTGTCAAAGAAGTTTAACAAAGTCACATTAAAATGTAACTGATGATAACTTCCTGGTAACCTTCTAATCACATCGATTTGAATTAAGTCTTTGAAAGTCGAATTGAGAACTAATGACAACTGTTTGATGACGTTTTGAACATCAGAACAAAGTCAAAAAATCTGAAAGAAGTTTCAGAAAATCGAACACAGATGTAACTTTCAATAATTCTGCAATTCTTCTGGTCTTCAGATGGACATCAAAGATGTTTAGTAAAGTCAAATTCAGATGTAACTGGCAGCACTTCCTGTTGACTTAGTCCTCACATCAATATCAAAGAAATTTAAAGAAATCAAATCCAACTGTAACTGGCGATAACTCTCTGATGACATGGTCCTCACACCTCTCTAAACTCTGTTGAGAAGTTTCACTTCTAATTTTAAAACAAACTTCTAATTTTACCTCAATATAACAAAGAGAACCAAGATTAAAATTCCTTACGCAGCAATGGAGTCAAGTGACCCCCTCGCTGATTGTACCATGTCTCATCTCTCCGGAGGCTAGCTAGTGCTATCTAAAACATCAAACTGGTAATAAGCGAAAGCTTGGATACAGCAGAGCGATAAGTCCTGAAATGCTCAACTAAATAATAAAATGATGACATGGTCCCCGTGTGGATGTTAAAGACGTTTAAGAAAATCGAATTCAATAGTAACTGGCTACCCAGATAATCTGATTGATGTCAAAGAAGCTTAGAAAAATCAAATTTCAGTAATCAGAAAGTTGTCTGATGAGCTTCTTAAACCAAGTAGATCCAACAAGTGAACTCCACGATAATGTGCGTACACAAGAAAGCGAAGAACCTAGGATATGACAGGGTGAAAATGCGAAAAAGGCAGTTCGGAAAGAGACAAGTGTGGTGAAAGAAGGTGAAACGCGTTAGCAAAGAGGAGAAAAGAAGGATCGTCGGAATCGGGTGAAAGAGGGGAAAAGACTGTGGAAAAAAGGCAGGTGGGTTCGTCGAGAGGACGAAAGGGGAAAGGAAGAGAGAGTAGCCACGAGAGAGGGATATGGTACAGCGAGTGGCGTGCATTCTCGCGCACACGCTGCCTCCCCTCTAGCGTGAACATTCGCGTGCACGTGCAAAAACGTATCGTGCACGTGTGCGTGTACAAAGTAGGTCCACGAGAGCGGAGGAGAAGGCGAACGAATATCGCCGTCCCCTCGCGAACGGTGCGACCAATCCGCGCGTAGAGCGAGCTGCGTGAAGGCGGAACGCGGCCTCTTCGCGTATATCTGCGTATTTATTATTCAGTTTGCAAATACCTGGCAAAAATGATCTCTCTCCGCAGCGGCTGGATGTGCCTCGGTCTTTCAAACCGGCCCGTATCGGCCGGGAG